GTTAACATAGAAAGAGGTCTCACTCATACCCCGATTTGTGCAACAGGAAAAAAAAATCCTCATGCAAACATACATCAGATTGTATCAGATTAGGGGGCATCTTGGTCACATCACTTTACACACCACCAGATATGACTTTTGATTTCATTGATCTGGTAATATAGAAAAGATCCAAATTCTGGTTGATGATCATAACAACGATAATGATAACTGGAAATATTACTTCATAAATTAGAATGATAAATTGCTGAAAATCTAGGTTGAATTTGATACATGATTTAAAACTGACATGTTCCCTTAACAGTAACATTGTATATTACATTTTAACTTTAAAATCAATTCCATATTTTCAACATCACACTGCTGGTCATGTTTACATAATTTGAGGGAAGCCAATTCAAACATTTACTTTAATGACTTCTTGGTAGTACCTGTGATCCAATACACATGCTGCTATGGAATACATATATTATTATTTCAAACAATGTTAAGCCCTATTAAATATTTAAAATGACTACCAGTTTTCCTGCTCCAAAAATAGTAGGCATGTTGTCAAATTTAAAATTTTCAGTCAACATGAATGAAACTTTTCAGACTTGAAAGTCTATAACCCTGTGCAAAAACACCTCAACATTAAATCATTTGAATATTGGAGCTATTAATACTTGGATGAAAAATGTGTTGCTATTTAATAATTACTAAATCATGTTGGTTTTGTACATTATTCTTCCCCCTCATCATTCCAAAATTGTAATAAGCTGCAAACAGGCTCTGTATGGCATGGTTCTGAGATTTTAGGAATATTTACATTCATTCTCCAAAGGGCAAACCACCTTTTTCTTGTGTCTTTCTAGACAACACACAAAATGAATCTTCCAGCATGGGTAACTCCTGTGGTGATGGCCAAACTGAAGGAGTTAAAAGATTTCAGTTTTAGTGTCCTTTTTGGCATCCATAGACAAGTGGAGAAAGCTCGTCTGCAGGGCGGTAAGTAAAGAAGAAATGTTTATTCAAGTAATTAGTGGGAGTGTCTGTAAGAGATTATGATGTAGACTTTTTTTTTCTTACTATAGGAGTTCTTTTGTCTCAAATAAGGAAGAATCTTACCTTAGCTACAAAAGACTCAGCACCTCACCATCTCAAAATGCTTGTGTACTCAGCGGTAAGTTTGGCATGTTGAGTCCAGATGCTGTCAGTGTCTCCCCTTTTGTAATACCCTACGACAGTGGTGCCCAAAAGGTTGGTGACCGGTTCCATGGAGAGAAGCTTTTCTGCGGACCGGAGGGAGGAGGGGGCGTGGTTTTGTGTGCTAACTACATCCCTTGGATGGGGCTTCACATGTTTGCACAATCTGGTTTCTAGAATGCTGAGGGTTGGGGAACCCTGCACTTCGAAATGCTCTTCATTGTAAGAATAAATGCTAACTATTAATCTACGTTCTAGAATCCCTCTTGTTTTTATCCCACTGTAGTTCGGGAAATTCTTCACATAGAAAATGCATTTTAGATTGTCTTCTGTGCATACTAAGGGGAAGATTCACATATTTCTTCTTTCCTCAGCATGACACCACGCTTGCGGCACTGCAGACAGCTCTGAATGTTTACAATGGGAAGCAACCACCCTATGCTTCATGTCATATATTTGAACTGTATGAAGAAGATGACGGGTGAGGGCTTTGCTCAGGGTATCAAAGAGATATAAGACTCAGAGGCAACTGTGTGCTGAACTTTAATGTTCAAAATACACTCAGAAAAGACAAATGACTTTAAAAAATAATTAACAATCTTCAGAGCAATCCATAGAGTAATTACCTTTTCCAATCTGTTTAAAACAATTATTATTTTCCACCGGTGCTAATTAACTTTGATGTGAATATAATAGCCATAAACATATGCACTGTGCAAGTACTTTGATACACTTGTGGACACAATATTTAATAATGAACTCTTTCCACTTGTTATTGCCGCAAGCGTTGATCGCTTGTGATCTGATACAAAAAATATACCAGAGAAATAGCTAAGTTGCATAAGGACAGTGCTCCAAACAGTAGGGCACGGTCTAACATTTTTAGATTTCTAGTATTACACAAAGGGGATTGGGCTGGATAGAAGTTGCATGCTTCAGTGCTTGGTTCCTATAGAAAATGTGATATAAAACAACTGATGGACCGTTAATACCTGTTTCTATCATATGCCTTGCTTCCAGTAACTTTACAGTGGAGATGTTCTTTCGGAATGAAAGTCAGAAGGAGCCTTATATATTGCAGCTTCCCGACTGTAAACAGCGCTGTCCCCTTCCGCAATTCCTGCAACTTACAGAGCCAGTTATTTCAAAGGACTGGAAACAGGAATGTAAGATAATAAGCACATTGAACGACACAGGTAAGTGAGGCGGCATGAATCTGAAGGAAAATTCATGTAAGATTAAACTATTGTAATTAGAATGGTTTTTGTTTCACTCTTTTGCAGAAGTGATTGTGACTTTGGCTGTCTGTGGATCTCTCCTGTTCTTACTTACCGTTCTGCTCCTGACAGTACTCTTCCGTTTGAAGTCCCAGCCACTTGGCTACAGCCATCTTTCCAATGAAGGAGAACAGCCTTGACAATTGCTTCAGCCCCTCCTGAGGCAGCAAGAGGAAACAGAGCTGATTTCAGGGACAAATGGGGCCTCATTCAATGACCAAACATCTTACTGATTTTGATTTTTGAAGCAGAAGAGTTTGACAGTGGAGCTGTTGCAACTAGCAGGTGCATTCTATCTAACACAGCACAATGCAGTTAGTTGCTAGGAGTAAAATGCCAACATGGCTTTAGATTGCTATTTCTCAGTGCGTGACTAGTTCAACAACAAGGTTATGCTTTTCTCTTTCTCTCTCGTTTAAAAATGGCACAGAAAAGTGGCCCGCTGCTCCTTAAAAAGACTTCAGTCTAGTAGCTGCCACTTGTACCTGTCTTCTACACCGTGACAGCAGCATGCTAAACCAGCAATAACCGATTGCTTCTACTGAGTTAATAATTCAGAACAAAATGATGGTTCTATTGTAGAATAGCCATTGGACGAAATATTAAATTCACTCAAAAGAAATGGCCATAATGGGATTCACTTCCAAGTCAACATAGAATTGTGCTATAGGTACTTTACTCAAAAATAGGACAAGTGACATTAGATTTTTCCCTGCCCTCTGTAACAGGAAAGGGGTTGATCAAATTTATGCATTCAACAAGAACGTGCTTTAAGACACATGCTTAATCATTCAAAGGTCTTAATTCAAATATCTGTAGTAGAAATATTTATGTCTCTGGTTTTACATTCCTAAACTTCATTTTGAAACATGCTGCTGAAGTTAAAGACTAGATAGCTTTTAATTTAGCAGGTTCTGTTGTTATGTAATATACAGGGTCCTATATATTTGGGAGATCAACAGCTCCCAGATCTTCCCTAGTGCCCGTTCCATTCCAATGATGCTGGTGCCACACATTTTCTCTTCACTCTTGCTCCCTTTAACTTTTGGCCTGGTTTTTCCCCACCTTAGGCCTTCACTGATTGCGCTTCACTTCAAATTGTATATTTCTACTTTATACCATGCAATGCAGCATAGATGTCCGTCTTATTCCTCTTCACGAAGAGAAAAATATTACACGTACTACCTCATCAAAAATATATGGCATATAAAAATCACAAGGCTGTAATTTCAAATATTCACATACAAGACATAGCCAATTTCTTAACTTCAATCAAAATATCAGTTCACATTTCACAGAAAATGGTACTTTCTTTAGATCTGAATTCTATAGGATCTGAAGTGCTCCTGAAGATGTGCAAGGTATTTCCTTCATCCCTGAACAGTGGAATCTGAAGATAAGAATCCATAGTATAATTGTCACATAGTCTAGAAAACCAGCATTTTTTAATTACCCCATCTCAAAAAAAAAAAAACCTGCACCCCTAATTTACTGCTCGAAGCTTTCTAACAAGTCCCATAAAAATCCTCTTTTATATTTCTCCACAGGACAATTTCCTACCATATGGATACTCTTTTTTTATTTTCAACTGGAGCACAGCCCATCAATTAGTTTGCAGTATCAGGATTAAATGCTAAGAACAGTTCCCCCCCACACACACAGCATTAAAAAATCAGTTTTTTCTTTCCTTAAAACAGAGCAATACTGGTTACTTACCGTAATCAAATACATCTAAGTATACAAAAGTGCTAGGAGATCTGAAGTAAAAAAATTAATTGTGTGCTTTGCTTTTTCTGGGCTGAAACTTTGCAATCCTACTCCAAGGAGATACTGAAAAAAATCCAGCTTGGTCATTACAAAACATTTCACACGTTACATTTCCTCTAAAGCCACTACATTAGTATCATGTTACTAAAGAGTACATATGACAATTGCCAAAAAAATTACCCAATTCGATTTGAAGTTGTCTTTCTTATTTTTCTATTGAAACTACTGCATGATACGTCTCCTGCAGGGCAGGCTGGAAGATAGAACCAAGAGAAACTCAGATAAATCACTTCCAGAAATGAATCAAGTCAATTTATATGCCAATTTCTTATACGCTAAGTTGTAAATAAAATGGGAAATAATTTGCTTTGGTACAAAATGAGGAAAAACTATGATTTATTTCTTGAGACAAATGTTGCTGTAATTCACTTGATCACTTTCTTAATGTTTTCATTAAAAACCAAGATGAGACTGAATTTTTGTTCCCCCTTTTTGTTGTTTCGCTCTTTTTGCACATGTCTAGCAGCTGGATCACAAGAAAAGATATAACTATGGCAACTTTTTGTATTAAAGTCAATTATAGTTAGGGAACTTGACATGGGACCAACTTCCCAGTAAATAATCCATTGTCTAGATCAGGGGTGTCCAACCTTGGCAACTTTAAGACTTGTGGACTTCAACTCCCAGAATTCCTCAGCCAGCAAATTCTGGGAGTTGAAGTCCACAAGTCTTAAAGTTGCCAAGGTTGGACACCCCTGGTCTAGATTTTTTAATGTAAGTATTAAAGCGGGAGTGCTCTTACTCTCTATTGCCCTAGAGGCAGGACCAGAACTCTAGGTTAACTACAAGCACGGAGGCTTCTGTTAGACATTAAGAATTTCCTGACTGTACAGGTCATTAGCCAGTGGCACAGACTGCCACATGATATGAGTTCTCTGAAGCAAGATGGTAAACTGTTAGAGATGCTCTAGCCCAGAGGTCTCCAACCTTGGGAACTTTAAGCCTGGCAGACTTAAAGCAAAGCTGGCTGGGGAATTCTGGGAGTTGAAGTCCGCCAGGTTTAAAGTTGCCAAGGTTGGAGACCCCTTCTCTAGCCGTCTAGCGGATCCTGCAATAAGCAGGGATTGGCAATGATTAGATTACCTTTACTGTCACTTCCAATTCAATGTATAAAAATTAATGTATTTCTAACAGGTCTTTGAAGCTAATAAAGAGCTCTATTTTCCTATACATTTATATATTGTATACCGGTAGAATGCAAATCTTGAAATCCTTCTTTTTTTTAAAAAAAAAGCAGTATCAGGTTTATAAAAGACAATGAAGGGACAAGTTAAAATGTGTGGAGCACAACTCCCCAAAATAAGACTCTGGTCACTCATTCAATTTTTATTAAGTTTCTCAGATATATTCCTTGAGCAGGCTTATGTCCTAGCTATTATGTTTTTCAAGAAGCATGTAGCTTCTTTGTATAACAAAATAATTATGATACAAAAACATTAAACATATTTTTAAACAAAAGAACACAGTAAGTGAATCACAATAATTGTTGCAAAGTAAGGTACCTATAGCTAGTTGCCTTTTTTGTACCTCTATATATCTTTTAAGTTCTAGACAGTTTTACAATCTCACAAAATACAAATACCTGTGTCTGAGAACAAACAAGTTATTTTGCTCCTTAAAACAAAAATGCTCTTATTTTTAGTGAGCATAGGATAAACATAGATTGTTTTCAATGTATTATAAAAAGAAAACAGCTAGGTCTGAAAATATACTGTAATCTGGATTGTTAGCATATGTTTGTGCCTTAAAACAATTAAAAGCCTTCAGGTACACACAACAGAATATTCCTTTTAGCTCATTTAAGGACATGCACATGTATATGCCTTATGCCTTGCCCATAATAATGGATGACTCAGTTCTGTAACATAATTTCCATCATCAAAGAAGATGGTCTATTATAAAGGGCTTCCTTCTTCTGAAGTCAATGTCGCACGTTATGCCAGCAGCACCAACTTTGCTCCAAGCAAACACTAGTGACACAAGCTTGACTCATAAGTCCTCCGGGTCCTTTCTTCTCTTAGTGCGCACTGTGTATTCTTTAGCCTTAGTTTTGGTCTCCTCTAATTCAAGACTCAGCAGTTTAGTTTTGAATTTGTTTGTTTCTGTGTTTGATTGCCTTTGCCTCTGTCCTCTTTGGTGGGGTACGTTCTTAAGCCCAATTCTCTGCTCTTTCATAGCTTGCATGAGATCCTCCTGCTTCTTACCAACCATCACTTCTCGGTCCCATATCAGAATATTAAAGCCTGTAAAACAACAGAATCACACTCTTAGGAATTCAGCCTTGGATAGCCTATAAACCACCTAACATGCCAAGAGCTCAGACATGGCTCAGTTTTTAAAGCTGTGTGTTTGGTACCAACTCTGCAGAGATTTTAGAGGAATACAATTCTGACAATTAGATAACTGAAGATCATGAACAAATTATCTTGCTCAACCCAACAAAGAGTAATACTTTTAAGTTATGAAGATTAAAGTTCAATCTTATTTTTTTTTCTATTTGGTTCATTTTTATTGTCTTATTTTAAAAAATAAACATAATTATGCAGCTAAATTCCTTGTGAGAACATTTTCAAGGATCAATTATAGGCAAATATTCCCAATTTGTAAAAAATCTTTTGACCCAAAGTAGTTAAACTGGATTTTTTTTCTTGTTTCAAAAAAATATATGCTTCAATATCAAATTTTATTTTCTCCTTCCTTTTTAGAACATTATTTGAAAGGTCAACAGATGGCAGCAGTTCTCTCTTTCCTAGATAAGTACCTCTTAGTAACTACCATAGGTAGATATATCCAAGCTTTTTGGCAATAATATAAAATGGTTTAACATGGATGGTTTAGCTATGTAATTTTCTGATGGATTCTTCTTAGTTTTTCAAGATGAGCTGTGGCTGGGTGCAACCACTAGACCAAACAAACCCCAACAAATAACCAAAACCCTGTTGATTCATGGCAATTGATGGAACGCTGTGCCTTTGAATGCCCCATTTTCTTACTAATTACATTTTTAATGATATACAAAAATCAAGAGGATCTCCAGCCAAAAGAAGCACTGAACCCTTTTCTTCTTTTATATATTATTTGCTATCATTTTCAAGTAGCTGAAATAACTATGTTAGGTTAAAAAAATATATTTAAAAACCCAATCTCTCACTTCAGCCTTAGATTGTTTAAAAGTTCAACAACTCTTTTTCATGCTATATATGTCAATATACCGGTACAACTAAAGCTACTTAATCAGGGATACTTAAAACATTATCATGCATAAACCAATATATGGATGGTACAGAGCTGGTTTTGGCTGATCAATGTCCAAACAAAAATAAGTGTGTTTCAGGTGTTTTGCTCCAATTATGGAATGAAGTAGAGCTGGGTTATTCAAAATATGACCAAACTGAAAATATTCCAGGCAAAAGTGATTTGGGTGAGAATAAGTAAAGGTCAATAATATATATATATATAAACATCAGGTGAGAAAAGACATTTGAAAGATCAGGGATGGCCCGGGCAGCATGTAGGTGATGTCAGAGAGGAAGAAGGGAGCAACTTCAAGCTTTTCCTTATACGTTGCCTCATAAAATCCCTTCAGGATCCTTCCAGTTTTCATTTAAACTGAAACTGAGAACATCCAAAACATTCTAGTTTTTGTTTCTGTCAATCTATAATCAATCCAAAGTAGGCCAATGGAATTCCAGAATGTAGCATTTTATTACAGGTTCAACATGTTTCCTACCTTGAGCACACCCTTTTACAATTTTAAAGTATTAATCCTTTATTATTTTCAGCTATTGCTTGCTAAGATTTATAAAGTATTTAAAAGTAATGAAACATAAGGTAGTTACAAATAAAGTCAGAGGTTTAAGCCTATACTTAGCAAATGTTTGAGTGGGAAGAATACCAAACCACTACACGAAAAATGAAAGATTAAACTGCTTGCTTACCCATTCCTGAAGCCAAGATGTCGCCCATGGGGTTAAACTTATTGAGCTGCAAATGTACACACAATAATGCATTGTAAGCTTGTCAGCTGTCAAGCAAAACAGAAACCAGAACATTCTGAACAGTACAGAAAAGCCCAACAATGATTGTGGAAAATTCTCAACAAGTCAGCAAAGCAATGAATAGGAAAACCTCCTTCCTGCCCTGTTCCCTGGCTATTTTGTGTTTCAGCACCCTAGCTGATGCCAGAGATAAAGAAAGTCCTCACTCTCAAAGTTCATTCGAGAAACTCACTGGGAATCCCGGCTCATTATATTTCTGAAATCTAAACTGAAAGCATAAATCTCTGGAAACAGAAATTGAAACATTTCTTCTGCACCAAAAACTGAGGTGAAGCTTTCGACTTGAAACCACTCCCAGAACACAATTATACAGACCACTACAGTTATCCATACTCTGCTGATAAATTTCCATTGGGTCTTTAAAGGAAAAATAGGTGGGAATAGGGAGCTCTATAGACATTGCTTATGCCACATCACGGGCCATGCTAGCTTGGATTGCTGAAAGCTGAAATTCAGTAATGCCTAGAAGGCTATAGATTTCCACCTATCCATCTTAAAAAATAGTCTAAGAAGCATGCAGGAAGCCAAACTTAGACACATTCTTCTATCTACTATAATGCACAGTAGGCATTAATGATAACATGTAGGAAAGTGAGGGATTTATTCTCAGTCCTTTCTTTTTTTTGAATCCCAGATCCTGTGGCAGATAGAGCAGCAACTAAACTAGGTCTCAACACTCACAGCGATAATGCCTGATGCATTTGGATCATGTAATTGGCACACCATCTCTCCACTGTTTCCGTCAAATATGTCAACAGTTCTCAGCTCATCTGCTGTGTACCCTGGGAACTTAGGATCTGGATAACGACCAACCACAATGAGGTCGTAACGAGGATGCCATGTTGCCTGCAATACAGAAGATGTGAGTAAGTAAAGTCATTGATACAAATTTTATATATAGCACACAGAAATTGAACTACAAGTGTTAGCCTTTTTTCCCAAATGCTGGGGCTCAGCTTCAGCTTCTCCTCCTCTCACAATATCAAAAAGAGATCATGTTGTAAAAACAGAATTCCAATGGATTTTTATTAGTACTACACCTGATGCCTGAGTATAAATTGTTATGTAGTACACTACATAAACCTAGTATGCATTTTAGTTGGAAATACTTATATCTATTCTAAAATTAGTGACCCTGTTTGGTGTAGTGATAAGGCATCAAGCTAGGAACCAGGTGACTGTGGGTTCTAGGCCCACTCTAGGCACAAAGCCAGGCCTTGGGCTTGTCACTTTCGCTCAGTCCTAAGAAGGAGGCAATGGCAAACCACTTCTTAAAAACCTTGCCAAGGAAACTGCAGGAATTTGACCAAGCAGTCTATGAAAATTGGATAGAACTGAACATGAGAAAAAAAAAATAAGATTAATTTTATTCACTGTTAATTCTTTGCCCCTTACTTGGTTTACACTACATTGGCCTCTTTTTTATGACACAAAAGTTGTACAGTATATTGTTGCACACATTTGCAGTAAAATAACACATTAAAAAAATCTATGATATAGATCATGGACACAATTTCTTTTGGCTCAATCAGCTTTTCATGCATGTTTCAGGGTAAGTCCTAGGTCCATTCAGAGGAGAGATTTTAAGGGTTGAAACTGCTACCTTAAGCATTTTCAAAGCTCTTTTTAAATACCTCCATAACTTCCTAATGTAAAATAGGAATCATATTTTGGACCCCGTTTACTCCGATAGAGCTCTAGAAACCACAAAAGGAATGGCAGTGGGCTGCATGTACTTTTTTGTAGCTTTTAATATCCCATGACTGGATTACTAGATGAATGTCCCTGTTTGACAATCACATTTCCAATTTCTATAGGGCAATTGTAGGCTGATTTTTTAAAAAAAACAAACAAACATGCTTTTGTCAGAAATGATTCCTAATTAATATTCCTGTCACCTTGATAGGTGTGAGATGCTGGAACTGTCTATGAGGATGCGAAATTGAATGCTGTGGTTTGGACCAATCAGAGGAAGAATAAACCCGGATTTCATTGTGCTGATCTGTACTCAGTAGTTTAGCACCATCTGTTGGACTGAAATAAGCTGCGGAAAAACACACACACACACACACACAAAATGTAAGTCACAGTGCTTTTTAACACCGGGTTAAAAAAATATTTTCCAATAAATTATACTTATTACAGCATTTCCTAAAGGTTCAAGTATAATAGAGCATATTTCCATATCCTTAGCATTATGAAACATATGCATTTCAATCATATAACCATATTAATATCCTGAGTAATTTTTTTCAGAGTATGAAAACTGACAATGCAAGAAGCGGATCTGTTCTAAATAAAAAAGTATAATAGAATGATCAGTTCAGATAAAAATCAAATGCTAAATTTTACTGTTATTTCATTTTTATCCAACAATCCTTTGAAATGTATAATCTATACAGGGTTAACTATAAATGCAAAGGAGAGTAAGTGGCACTGTGAATAAAAGATGAACAAAAGTATCTTACCTGCATTGACACCTTTGTCATGCTGAAGTACATGAAGACAACTTGATTTATCCTTAATATTTCTCAGATCCCAGATTTTGACTGTCTGATCTACAGAGGCCGTAGCCACCAGCCAATCACAGTGAGAATTAAACTCCACATGAGTCACTTTCTTTTTGTGCAGCTTCAAATTCCATATCTACAGCGGATATAAGAGAAGGCAAATGTTTTGCTGTTGTACAGCACAAGATTCTGGTCTATGGATATTAGGCAGAGAAAACTCATCTTCACATCCCAGTGTGTCAATAAATGTTTTTAAGAGATGGCCTTCATGACATCGCCGTTTTATTCCTGGCCTGATGTGAAGGCAAATTGAAACCACCTTTAGTTGCGCTACTGTTGATATGATGATGCCTCCCCCAAAATATGTCTTACTATATGAACAATCCACAATGGCTCCATGATGAGGCTAGAGATAATGCAATCAGAGGCAGGAATCTGCCCAACCCTATTGAAAACTGAAGTCTGCTCATTCATTCATTTATTTATTTTATGTCCACCCACTGACACACACAAACAGGGCCTCTCACTACCCTGTCAGTCACCCAGATTGAGTAAAACAAGCATGGGAAAAAATTGTGTCATTTATTGCCATAAAGGATTGCCCAGCAGAAGAGAAACATAGCTTGTGTACGAGATGCCAAATTATGATTGGGCTGCATGTAGCAGCTCAGTGCAATATCATCATACAGCCTTTAAAACATTGTGTTAGAACAGGGATCCCCAACCTTTTTGACGCCGCGGCCCGGTTCCGGCGTCAGCTGGGCGCCGCGGCCCGGTTCCGGCGTCAGCTGGGCGCCGCGGCCCGGTTCCGGCGTCAGCTGGGCGCCGCCATCTTTTTTTGACGAAAAATCACTTCCGGTGACGTCACCGGAAGTGATTTTTCGTCAAAAAAAATGGCGGCGCCCAGCAACCAGCGGCCCGGTAAGGCTTGTTCCGCGGCCCGGTACCGGTCCGCGGACCGGCGGTTGGGGACCCCTGTGTTAGAAGATGTTCAGTCAAATTTCAATGGAAGAATATTGGGTAAATAAAAAAGGGCTTAGGTTTATTTCTTTTTTGTTAAGGAAAAAATAAAATATACAAACCTGTTCACCTTCAGTACTAAGCAAAATCACGTTCCCTACATTATCTCCTGTTACTACAGTCCGACGAGTTGCTGATACATCAACACTGCAATACCAGAAACTAAAACAGAAATCACAGTTATTTTCTGTAACAAATAGAAATGCAACCAAAGAAAACAAAAGAAGCAATAACTTAAAAAGAAGCACTTAAATAATTGATTGAGTCACAAGTGAACTGAGTCCGAAGGATCTTATTTTGATACGGGATTGGTTGGAGTTATTTACCAAGAGAAGTTCATATCAAAAACATACAAAATGAAAGTTTTATCATATACGGTAGGTCACACAGAATCTGTAATAGAAGTCAAAGGCTCTGGTGTATATCTCTAAAGACATCACATGGAAAAATTAAACTCATGCTTAAAGCATTTTCCACAGAGCTGGTTTTAATTTAAAATGTACAGGTAGTCCTCGACTTACAACAATTCATTTAGTGATGTTCAAAGGTACAACAGCACTGAAAAAAGTAGCTTATGACCATTTTTCACACTTACGACCGTTGCTGTATCCTCATGGTCACATGATTGAAATTCAAACACTTGGCAACTGACTCATATTTATGACGTGTCTCCAAGGCACGTGATCACCTTTTGCGACCTTCTGATAAGCAAAGTCAATGGGGAAGCCAGATTCACTTAACAACCGTGTTATTAATTTAAACAACTGCAATGATTCACTTAACAACCAGGGCAAGAAAGGCTGTGAAATGGAGCAAAACTCACTTAACAATTGTCTCACTTAGCAACATAAATTTTGGACTCAATTGTGGTCATACGTCGAGGGCTACCCGCAATGAATAATCTATAGGTGGGATAGAGGAGATTCAAATTGATGAAACAGAACAACCCAAATTAATTTAACATCTTCAAACCAAATCCCAACTTAGGTTGCAAGTAAAATTGCTGCTAGTTTTTCATCATTGATTATTCAAAATAGTTGAAAAAAATTAAATTTAACAGTCCATGAAGCTCAGAAAAATGAGGTCCATGTACTTATCCTTCAAATATTTATTTTGAATATTATTTTGAATGTGAATTGGCCTTGTAAACTTTGTATTTATTCACAAGGCAATAGACAATGAAAATGCAAACTAGAAAATAGTTTTCTACCATAATAAATTGCTACCAAAATTGCAGCATGGCCAGTCTGCAAAGTCACTATTGGTGTTTTTGTTTGTTTCCTTAAATCTTTCCCAGAGATTTGTACCCAGAGAGATTTCTTGGATTGTTAAGGCTTTCTTCTGCAGATTGCTGAAGTATTCATGCCCACAACATACTTTACTACTTCATCTGCAAAAATGAAAAGCAACACTAAATTTCGACTCATTAGTTAGCCACTTATATTCTGAAGCAGAAACGTGTTACTTCATCCTGTATGCTCAGAAAATAGTTTAAGCAAATTCTAAGAGACTGTCCTTACAGTACCTATGAAAGAAGTTAGAGAAAGCTTAGAATAGCAATTCTCTCTTCCTTATTCCCCAAACTTGGAATTTATGACTACAGACTCATATATCAGAGGCTACAGGCTTCTCGTGCCTCAAACTAAGAATGCCCTCCCTGTTGCCATATTGTTTTCCAAATCAAATAGGTAGGGTCTCTGGAGTCCTTCTGGAATACGGATGAAATTAGCAGATGAAAACAACTATTTTACCATGAAAGAATGAGAATAGTGTTACAATTTAATAAAGAAATTATTAAGAGTGCATATTCTTTTTAAGGCCAAGAATCACTCTTAGCTTGTAAATGATATACTGCATCCATTTTAAAAAATGAAATAAAGAAAAGAATGGGCCAGAATGAAAATTACAGCTGAACTCAACTTTTGAATATCTTCCAGAGTGGGAGTAGTCCTAGCTAATTCATTCCCTATATATTTAAATGCATTTTACTTACTTTACAAAGCAAGTACAACAAATACTGAAAAGCTGTCCAGAATTATCTTCAAAACTATTTCATAATATTTCAAAAAACAAGATAACTGCATCTCACCAATTAGTCCTTTTATAAAGAAGCATTGCAGTAATTACTAGGTTTTTTTAAAAAAAAATCCAGAACATTTTATATATTTTTTTAGATTATAACAAAACAGTCCTATTCAAAATATTCCATCCAAACAATTGGCATCTCTTCTGATGGAACAAAACTCAAGATGTTTTTCATGTATGACATTGGAAACAACAGAAACTTGAAACAAAGCCCTTACTTCCTTGCTTTTCACTGTGGGTAGAAAAGTATGTGAGATGGTAGCCCATGCTACATGCTAATTTACCATCAATCTACAGAAGGTGTAGTCAAAACAATCATCTATTTTTTTCTTAGCAAATAATAAAAGCAACACTAAGAATAATTTATGTAAAAACTGCACCTGCACAAAAAGCGAAAGAACTGAATCTAGCAAAAAAATAACAACTGATTTACATCAATGAAACCCATAAACAATTTAACAGCAGCAAACAGGTTTTCTGGATGTTTCATTGAAGCTTTTTTCATGTGTGTGTGTGTGTGTGTGTGTTGATCTCATGCATAATTTGTATTTGAGCTTCTTGGAACTAAACCAAATTTTTGCTATCTGGCAATCTCAAAAATGCAGCAATACTACCTGTAAAGTATCTATGCTTACTTTTAATGTTTGTCTATACAAGACAACATACAAAGAACACATAAGACTGCAAAATTACACTACAACACATGAACTAACTTCCAGACAACAATATAAAAATACAGTAAATGTCAGTGCCAAAAGGCAGTACTCTTTTTATATTGAAAGCAAGCTCTTATTCTCTGAAATATATGTCTAGTTATTCTTTTGTATCCTCCTTGCTCCTTCAAAAGTGGCTCTGGCCAATTATAATAGCAACTCTTGTCACTCCTGTTTTAATCCTCTCTCCAAATTTCTATGGCTTGGGGGAAATTGAAATGAATTACTAAATCAAGCCAACTGTAGAATATTCAAAATGATGTGGAACGAAATAATTCTGATAAAACTTCAGAACATTTTGTTCCAAGTTCAGAATGCTGGAAACAATTTGGACCTTACTAGTGCTATTTAATATCTCACTGTCATTCTTTATCTCACTATTAAGAGACATTTAAAATATTATAGAACTAGAATAATCCCAAGACAGAGTAGTAAAGACCTTTATTTTTCAACAGTAGCAGCATTACATGGCTACAAATACTTTACAAATACATTACTTTGTGCTCTTAGGGTCAAAATAGTCTATTTTCCATGAAGTACAATATTTTCTAGCTGTACACGCTTTTTCATACAAACTATATATTTTTAAAAAACTCACTCTAATATTTTATGGTAATCTAAACCTTACATGTTCTAAGCAAATCTATACCAAAGAAAATCTCTAATTCAGTCTGTTGGTCAGTCTTCCTTTTGTTATTTTACTGATTTTCAAAATGTTTTACTCAGTAATTTGTTTCATCTTTTTACCTAGGCTCCTTAAAGGCTACTTTCTGAACTAGAAAAACGAGCACTCTAAAAAGTGACTCAGGAATATAAATCACCCAAATGTTGAGTGGAAGAATGAAAAATATTCCTATCTTCACTGTTTCTTAAGGTTATGCTGCCTTCTAGATTTAAAAAAAAACCCCTGAAAAGAAGTAGAGTGCATCTTACTCCCAGTCATCACTATTGGCCATGACCCGGATTGTGTTGCCACTAAAATCTTGCAAGGCAGTAGTTCCAGCAACTGATGATGTGTACAGCTCACTTGGATTAAAAGGATTAAACTTCATTCCTGTGATGGCCCCTCCAGCTCCAATCTATAGTTAAAAGAAATGAATAAAAATCAGGAAGGATTGTCCTACCAGTCAATAACTACTTCAGCTTCAACAATACAAGAGCACACAACAGATACAAACTCAACAGATACAAACTCAAACTTGATTGCAAAAAGTACGACTTCAGCAACAGAGTGGTCAATGCCTGGAATGCACTATCTGACTCTGTTGTTACATCCTCTAAACCCCACTCCTTTAACCTCAAGCTATCCACTATTGACTTCACCCCATTCCTAAGAGGTCTGTAAGAGGTGTGCATAAGTGCACAATTGTGCCTACTGTCCCTGTCCTATTGTCCCCATTTATTCGTACCTATTTCCTGTATTCATACTCATGCGGGAAGGATTTTCAGCTTTTCTGGCCAATGCTACATATATTAAATAACTGTTACTAGAAAAATAACAATTGCTAACTCTGACATAATCTGCATCATGGCAAGAGTCCAGATTCCTCTTACTGTATCATATTGAGTGCTGTTTTTTTTTCAGTTTCTTAAAAATTATAACCTGAATGAGACTTTGAGGGATACTGTCAATTTTAAACGTAATCAGGGAAAATAAAGCAATCTGGTACATATTAATGAGCTTTATACATAACAAATGAAAAAGTCTACAGTAAGTAGTAAAAAAGAGAGAGAGAAAATATGATCAGTGAAATATGCCAGAGGACTTTTTTTTATGGAGGATAAAAAAAAAAGATGGAAATTAGGTCAAGAAAGCTTCTTCAGGAGCAATAACCTGCTGGGTACATGCGAAGTTCAATTTCTATTTGTTTATCTTCTCTTACTTATTTGAGAAAAACGAAAGGGGAACGTTAGATTTATACTCTTAGTGCAGAGATTCAGTTTTAATATTTGATACTTTTTTTCAAGTTTTACAAGACTGCAACGCTCTTGTCTTCACATTCATACATACATCCAAACAATATAAAAGAAGGTCACATAAAAAGATTTGGGAACATTTTTTTAAAAATCTTCCTCTTATCCAATATACAGACATCACGATATATTGTAGAACTATTATAACTGTAAAGCTAAGTCTATAAGTGACCACAGTTGACGCAAGGTTTCATATTAAAACAACATCTTTATAAAGCAAATGAAAAAATCTCACTCCCATTCATTCAAAGAATTGAGTTGGAAGACACCATTTGGGCCATCTTAGTTAAGTGTACTTCAGTGTATGGACCATGAGAGTAAAATAAAATTAGATCCAAAAAGATTACAGATTTCCTACTTTAAATTAATAATTTTCCAATTCTGAACCATCCCTCCAACCTCATTTCCGTTCTTTCAAAAGTAAGGAGACAAACAGCGCTGATTCTTCAAAAACAATTTAATTATAACTCATGGCTCTCATCAGCATGTTAATACAAAACAGCCCTTACTGCTTCAACTTACCCCTTTAATAAAAGATGTTTTATTGAGCACTTCATAATTCCACAGGATGATGTCTCCTCCTTTGGATCCCACAGCGACTGTGCTGGGATGCATTGGATGCCATTCCAAAGCTGTAATTCTTCTGTCAAAGGGACTTGCCGTTTGGAACAGACGGTACCAGTAGAGAGAACGTACAAAGGGCACCTGGAGACACTGTTGCAAAGAGAGTAAGAGAGTAGGATCAGATGCATGCACAGTCCCCAGATGCATGCACAGACTTTTTATACATAAGTACACTCGGGAGGAACAATTGCGTAATTGCCCAATTGTACCTTTGGATTCATTTTCTTCAATCAATAAATGAACAAACACAGCAAATCCGGTACTCTTTATCTAGTTTTAATGGAAAGCAGATAATGTCATGCTTAGGTCATATTTATGATGCAGAACTATTGAACATTCAAAAGGGTTCACAAGGTTTTAAGTGCCATTGTAAGTATAAGTATCTGGTGCTTCCTAAGATACCTTAGATCATATTCAAGGTCAAGAAAGCAGGGAAAAAATGCTACTCAAATTATCTTACCCAGAGCACAAGTGACTTGAAGAGATGCTATAAAATTTTGTTCGGATCTATTTCAGACTTGGCTGAATCTAATAAGAGGTCTATTATGCGCCATTTAGACATTAGTCTTTACATGTAATCTTGTATATTCTACAATATATTAGATTGGACAGGCATTATGAAATTTTATATTTCAGAAATGGCTATTAATTATTTCAAACAACAGATGGCTACTCATGCACACTATTATTCCAGTCCATTCAGAAATCATTAACTGATTTGGAAAATTGATGGTCCAATAAATTACAGAATGTCTGAATTCTTGGAATGTCTTCACTGGCTCTCCAAATATCCAAAAGGCTTTTTATGGTTTTATTTTAATTGTATATTATTTTTACTTTAATTAATTATTTCATATTTAATATTCTTAATATTCTTCTTAGTTTTGGCAGTAGTTTTAATAGCATATTTGTTAGATACATTGGGTTCCTTTTCTTTTCCTCCTGATTCAAATGTGTTGAATAAACAATTGTTTTTAATAAATTATCTATTGACAAGATGTTTTTTCAATACTAATGAATCATACTTTAAGAAGGTTTATTTTTTTTAATGCTGGTTATTGTTATTTGCAATTGAGACTTGGAGCTAGTCTAGTCATCACTACACATACTTTTTTGTATTTTTTTAAATTACAAATATATTTGAGTCATGGAACATTAAAGAGCTGAGGAGCATGCTTAAAAGGAAAAATATTTGTATACATTGAAATTGATGAGGGTGGATTCTTTTACATGTAATATATAATGCTCCAGATGAGGAAGAATCATTTTAGCAAAGAAAGGGATCAAATCAATTAAATAAATGGAAATTCAAAATCTGCCAAAGAAATAGAAATTTTAGTGAAAATTTCTAATTTTATAGTTGAACAAAATATTTGGTGACTACGCAAATTTAGTCATCAAACATAGAGATCATTAGTTCCAGTATAGCGTGATCATATAGCGTGGTTAGTATTGTGGCTGCAGCAACCTCGGTTTGAATCCAAGTCATGGCAGATGAAAAGAAGACAGATTAGACATCTTTTTAACCAGCTAACAGAGCTGCCTAATTTTAAAACATTAAAAAAAGTTACAGAAACTATTCCGGAGAATGTGGTTCGGAGAAGGATGAGGCATCTAGTTCCCGTGTACATCTGCTCGTTACAAAACAGCAACAGTTCAACTCTGCAAATATCAGTTGAATTATTTTTGTTGTATAAGAATATTGTATTTTACTGAATATTTTACACAATTACTAATGTTAGTTTCTTGGATTTCAGGTGGACCACATAACTATGATTTAATTATTTTTTTAAAAAAGTTATTGGTTTTTAAAAACAACAGAACATAAAAACATCAAGCCATCTTCCATATGTATACATATAGTGTAAAGAAATCAATCAAATTATTCAATCAAATTATTCAATCAAATTATTAAATCAATCAAATTATTGATCCATTATTAGTTTGGAGAAAAATGAACTGGAAGTTACATCCTTTGAATACCATCCAGGGATTCAATTCAGTGGCCTATTTAAATGTGTAAACTCAGATAATTTTTAATATCAGGTTCAATAGTTAACTGTACAATTTCTAATTATATGCCCATATTAGTGTCATTGAATTTGGACAAAAATATCTCAACTATCAGAGTTAATATTTTAATACTTTTCTCCTGGAAGATTCATAGGAACAGCAAAACAATAAATATATAGATTTTCAAATAAAAGTTCAGTTAATTTGGGAATCATTTGGAATATATTTAAAGTATTTATTATTCATGGTAAGGTAACAGTCTATTGACTCCTGGCAGAAAAAGATCTACAATTACAACCTACAAAAGTTAAATTAGAAGGTAAAGAAACATGGAAAATATATGCCCTAAAACAGAGTAAGAAAACATATTATCTTTTTAGATTTACTAAGTTGCAATTGGACCATTTATAAGCTTTTTATACAGTGTATTTTTAAAGCCAATGAAACACTGAGTATTGAAAAACAGAAAGAAAAGAACTGGAAAATTATTGGATACGTGTTTGAAAATTTTCCAGCAAAGTAAAATAATATCTTTGTAAAAAGATTCCTCAGGACAAAACATACCAATTATAATTAACTGTCAAGTGTTTTTTCATTTTGTTACTTTTACCTTCTTAAGCTGTGCTCCAATAGTGCCACCCACCATATTTTGATAAACATAGTGGACAATATTCTTTTGTATTTCCCATGGATGGAAGGCAACTCTTGAATTTCGAACCATGAAGCCACCAAAGCAAGCTTGTCCTGTCCCCAAACAACAAAAATGGGTATATTATTACTTGCTTAGTTAGTATAGGAAGACTTCAGAGTTTATTTTTTTGTACTTACATATTAAGGACTACCAACCAGATATAAATTCAAAACAGTTGAGGAGGAAGACAGAACTAGAATAAAAATGGTTATTTAATGCATTGGTAGTTATAAAAGTATAGTTTCATCAGCATGCTAATACAAACAACGTAAAATGGCTAGTAGACCATATAAAGATCTAGTAAAAAGCAGATGTTTAAAATTTTAAGAATGCACAGGATAAGACACAAGCATTTTTTCTAAAATAGTAATCGCACAAAAAAATTCACAGAATGTTAAATGGGGATGGCAATATTCAATTAACTATTTTTTTATTCCGTTAGCAAATTGAGGGAACTGAAAAATTTTGATCTTGGGGAAGGAATTACTGACCGCTGCTAGGGTCAATTTCTTCCTTATGCTCCTTTAGAAATAATGTTATACACTAAATTGACAGAATTATTGAGAAAACTCCATTTTTTAAAAGGCAGGCATATTGTATTGAATTATGTACCAAATAGGTCGAATTTATTAAGTTTGGAATAAAGATGGTTTTTGTTCATGCTGTCACAAAAGTTAAAAAAGAATAATGTTTAGGAGGTAGGAATATACTATAACTGCAAGGACTGGATTTCAGAGATGTAATTTAGCAATTTTTGAGAAAAGTAAAGATTCTGTAAAAAAAAAATGACATTATGTTTCCTTTGGAAAAAAAATTTGGACAGGTTGGGTCAACACTGAAAACTTTTTTTTAATGCTTACAAAATCAAGTGAACTTGGAATATAGCTGGGATATATAGATAACTTGGGATATAGATGTAATTTTTTTCATTTGTTTTTGTGAATGGGGAATTATTTTTATTTTATGTATGTCTGTTTAAAAATGTATTAATCAAAATATTTGATGACTTCAAAAAATTGAGCCACTGTAGGATTAAGTCTGTCTTCTGTACGCATGATCTATGTTTTGTTCTTGTTTCTTGATTTTTAGGTATAAACAACCTGCCCAGACTTATTGTGAGTTGGGCAGGCTCTAAATTGTATAAATAAATAAAGGTTTGACAGATAACAGGACAGCTTCTTTATCTGCTCTACCAGGAAGACAAGAAATTTAAAGTGAAGCTCCTTGCACATGTTCCACAAATGAATATGCACACATGCCCTATCAGTAACATGTTTGTACCAATGTACGGTATTGCAAGTTTTTTTTCTTATTTATTTCTGAACTGGTCTGTACTCCCTCTAGCTTGCCAAAGAGGGAGCACTGAAACCAACAGTTGATTGGTATCCTGTTCTGTTTGGCTCCTTCAATGATTCTAAAGCAAATGAGTAGCATAATTCGAGTTTTAAAAAGGCAAAGAATTAAATTTAGGATTCTACAATATGGAAAATAACAAGATGGATTGGCTATATCAAACTTTTAAGTTATACAGATACAGTTCCTCGACTCACAATCATAATTGAGCCCAAAATTTCTGTTGTTTATTTATTTTTATTTATTTATTTATTTGATTTGTCAATTGTTTACAAGATAATAAGTACAAGTGTATACATAGTTGTGAATATATGAAATGGGTACATATAAGAAAAATAAAAGAATAAGAGAAACAATAGGACAGGGACGGTAGGCACGTTGGTGCGCTTATGCACGCCCCCTACTTATGCACGCCCCCTACTTATGCACGCCCCTGTTCAGTGAGACTTTTGTTAAGTGAGCTTTGCTCCAATTTACAACCTTTCTTGCCACAGTTGAATCATTGCAATTATTGAGTAAGTAACATGGTTGTTAGGTGAATCTGGCTTCCCCATTGGCTTTGCTTGTCAGAAGGTCGCAAAAGCTAATCACATGACCCCGGGACACTGCAACCATTATATATATGAGTCATTTGCCAAGCATCTGAATCTTGATCACATGACCATGGGGATGCTGCAACGGTCATAAGTGTGAAAAAGTCATAAGCCACTTTTTTCAGTGCCGTTGTAACTCTAAACGGTCACTAAATGAACTGTTGTAAATTGAGGACTTCCTTATTATCAAACTGTTAAATTTGATCACCATGCAGTTGAATATTTCTGTGGAAGAAGTAGAACTTTCAAGAGGCTTGCACATATCCAGGTTTGCTACAAAAAGTAATGTTCATTGCATAACAGGCATTCAATTATACTCTATTAAAAATAGGGGGCAGATTTAAAAGAAAAATAGACCCTTTATTACCTCTTATCCCAATAGCAAACTATTTATTTTCATGAAGGCAAATAAGCTAAATATTTTATCAATAAAGAAATAATTTATATAGAAATCAAGAATTAACGTTCATTAAAAATTCTTTAAGTTTCTATTTGGAACAGTCAGAAAGGCATAATTATAAGTAGTATAATCCCAAAGGAACTACAAAAATAAGTGATATAATTACCGTGTTTCTCATATAATAAGGCCGGGTCTTATTTTTTTTTGAGCCCCGAAAAAATGGCTAGGTCATCTTTTCGGGGGTGACTTAATTCCCCCCCTTGCATCTTCGGATGGGCGGGCGGCGATGGCTTGGATGTTGACCTCAGCATTGGTGGGGCACTTCGTATCGGGGTCAACGCAGGCAGCACCATATCAAAAGTAACAAAAGTACTTCCTAATGGGAAGCCCCCCCACCATTCCCCCCCATTTTGCATGTTTTAATATAGGCCATAATTTGGGGGGAAGGGCTTAATTTCATTTCATGCCTATAAAACATGCTGGGACTTCCTATTGGGGGAGGCCGTATTGTTGGAGAAACAGGGTAGGAGTTTGAATTTGAAATGTATATAGCACAGAATTGAAAAATCTATTGGAGCCTGTGTGTGTGTGTGTATGTGTGTATGATTAATGAAATGGTTTAGAAAATGAAAAGGTCAAAAGTTCTATGATTAAATATAGAAATTAAGCAGCAGGACACTTAATATGCAACTATGGGAATATCAATAAAAGTATTAAATTTACTGTGAATATACTCAGAAAAAGGTATTTTGTTGGTACTCTCAATATTTTTATTGCTAATCAAAATATGTATTAAAAACAACTAAAATGCTATAGTCAGATTAGATCATTCTTCTAATATTCAGTGGCAATGTTACATAGTTTAACAATTTTGGAAGATGTTTCATCATAGAATGAAACCATTTTTAAATAATGACTTTCCTTTTGTGTTAGTTGATTTTCTGCTAAGTATCACAAAGCCTTATATGTAGCTCTCTCTATATATATATATATTTGATACCCACTGCTAGAATACACTATGCTTCTTACTGAAAATTACATTTAATTTCTTCATTAGAGGACTGGTAGATTAAGCCTTGATACATCAATATTTAAAATAACTCCATATCTAAAAATAGGTTTTTACTAACTCTAATTTTAAAATGTTTATGAACTGTAATTCTGCACTGTAGATTTCTGCCACATCTGAATTTTGGATTTGTTTCAATTTACTGTTTTAAAACTGTAGATTCTGTCTATCTGGCCACAAAGATAAGGGTGCATTGCTTTGGATCAGTTAGAAATCCTGCAGTCTGGTATGATTAAAAAATGGCTTTTTGTATGAAATCCTGTCATATTTCTTCAGTGTGTTACTATATTCCCAGAGTCAACTTTTCCTGAGGCAAAATATACCTACCTCCTTCAATCTCTCTTTATAGTACTTAAATTTCTAATCCATGAATCATCCTCAGTGTACTTCTTTGAATGTGTTTCAGTATCTCTGAATGCTTCTTAAAGCTGGAGCCCAAAACTGGACACAATAATCAAGATGGTGTGAGAAAGCAGAATAATGTACAATTTTATTGCACTTGTGTTTTTGTCAGCCATATCACACTGAAGGTGTGCATTCAATTGCAACCTTTTTATTCACTTATTCAATTATGTCACATTCACTACGACAAGTATACATCCTAATTGTATATATATTGAGAAACATAAAAACAGGATATTCCTTCTGGAACAGAATATTCCAGTTTGTTCTATAGCTTACATAAAATGCACGGAGTTTCTAGCAGTGTGATTTTAACAAACAAATCCGCTGACACTTCATGAAAAAGCCTAAGAGACTGTTGCCTAGAGAGAATTTTGCTGAGCAATTCAGCTGTAGAGGTTTGAGTTTAGTTTGTTTTGTTTGTCATAGTTAGCTCCACTTTTTATATTTAATCCCTAGATACTTTTATTTACTTATTAAACAAATATACATAGTCACCCACTTGTGAAAAAGTGACTCTGGGCAATGCATAATAAAAACTATTAAAATAATAAAAAAAAATAGAAAACAATTATGCAGAAAAAAATAAAAATCACAGTTAAAAGTTAAGAGAACAACAATGGAATCACCTCAGTACCCTGCTGGTCCCCTAGAGCAGGGGTCTCCAAACTTGGCAACTTTAAGACTTGTGGACTTCAACTCCCAGAATTCTCTAACCAGCTGGCTGGAGAATTCTGGGAGTTGAAGTCCACAAGTCTTAAAGTTGCCAAGTTTGGAGACCTCTGCCCTAGAGGTTTTGAGGGACTTCTGGAAAATCAACAGGGATGGATCCAGCCTCATTTTGGAGTGGGGGAAGGAGGATGTTCCATAGGGCAGGCGCCACGGCAAAAAAGGCTAACTGCCTGGGTCCAGCTAAATGTAGCTGCCTAGCAGACGGCACTATAGTATAACTCTTTTGCCAGTTCTGATGGGATGAACAGTTGTAATCAAGGAGCAACAGTCACTCAAATAACCTGGGCTCATGACATGAAGGACTTTAATGGTCAAAGCAGCACTTTGAACTGGATCCAGAAGTAAACCGGCAACCAATGAAGCTCGTGGACCAGAAGTGTAACATTTGCCATTCTAAAGGTATACATAATTGCCCGAACCACGGCATTTTGCACCAGCTGAAGCTTCTGGATACTTTTCAAGGGAAGCCCTCTATGGAGCACACTATAGTAGTCCCACTGAGAGGTGACTAGGACATGCATGATCATAAGCAGAGCTTCCCAATTTGGGAATGAGTGCAACTGGTGCACAATACAAGCTGCGCAGAGGCTCTGCCACTCACAACTGTCACCTGCTCTTTGAACAGGAGTGTGTATAGAAAGATTCCCAGGTCTACTGGGCAGATCAAGCCCATCTATCACTAAAGAATCCTAAAACTAGTATGTCCCAAGTCCCAAAGCCACTCAGTATTGCTAGGGTTCAATTGAAACCTATTGTTCTTCATCCAGACCCTCACAGCCTCCAGGCACTGGGATAAGATGCCCACAACATTGCTTAATTCACTAGGGAACACTGATGACAACCTCAACCCATGGTAATGGATGAGGTTATTCAGTGGTCTCGTGTACATATTGAATAGGAGTGGACAGAGCACCAAATTCTGCAGGCATCCCACAGTACAGGTGTGGGGTGTGTGTGGAATGTCACCTCCACTCCCCCATCACCACAGCAACTGATTTTAGATAAAGCTTTTCACAGTACCAACCACCCGCAATACCAAAGGTCTTTGGAGCCATTGAGACATCAGGATGAACAAAGATGGATGCACAGATTTGCATTTCAAGGACAAGGATTAGATGTTACCTGCATCAGAAAATATGCAATGTAACCTTGTCCATGACAATACTAATCATCTTCAAAATAATAGGATATGCAACATCTGACAATTTGTTAAATTAAATAACAAGAAGCAGATCAAATGAAACAATTAAAAATACATTTATGTGGCACAGTACTTGTAGAAGCAAAGGGCAGTGAGAAAAATTATCTACCAAAAGTTTGTATTATACAATACAAACAGGGCTTAGCATCACTCTTTACTTTCACTCATTCAATAACACTTTTCATTATTCATTTTTCACATTAATGAGTATACTCCTATTTCTAAAGTCAGAACAGGTTTGGGTCTTAAACAGGAGCATATTGTCATTATTCACACATTATTCTAAATGACAGTATTTAGAGCCTTGAAAATAGTTTATTCAAGAAATTTTATTCTACAACCGTTAACTTAACCCCATTAACTTTAAAGTGCTATGAATATGTAGACCCTTCAGCACTCTCTCTCTTGTGACCAACTAGACTACAAACATGACATATAAACTGTGCTTTCCTTTCCCTGGTTTTATTTCATTAGAAATAATGAACTCTCCGTTGTTATGGTTTATAAAGAAAGAAAAGGCTGAATTAATACAGAAACTGGGAAGCAGAATGATGTAAGAACTGCCACAGAGTGGGGATAGGGACCATTTCGCCCACAGAGGTACAGCTTATCAAGAGAATACACATGTTGAATGTGATTTAGAATGCACAGCAGGAGAGCAGGAGATAAATTATCTCTAATCAACTGAGACTCTGCAAGTTCATATACAGATAAAACTAATTTTGGAGTGGCGCAAAGAACTTTTTTAAAAAAAGGTTCAAGATGACTACCTAGCTAATTTTTAAGACATTTTAAAGTGTTTTAGCAATAAAAAATGGCTTCGTTATTGCTAAAGCCACCCACACATGAGATAAAGGAAAACTGAGGTCATTTATTCCTGATCTCTTTATTTCATCCCCTTCATTGTTGTCAGAGGCAACAACAACTTGATGGGACACAATCAATTATGATGATGAAAATATGTTGGGACCAGCACAGGTGTTATCCATCCCCACCCAACATTCATTTTTGTACCTTCTTTGTCAGGAGGTCATAAGGTAACTTAAGGATGCTAACACTTCTGTTTGGATTTAGATGACAGATTATGCCAAAGTTAAGCTAAGGGAAGCACATGAGGGATTGATCTGCAATTCATTTATTCAACCCATTTCTGGGTTGGCACAATATATTGAACAATAAACTGACAATACAAACTGACCCCTGTACAACAGGCTAGGCTAAAATAAGCTAGCTTGTCTGTGATTAGGTACATTAACTAAATTGTTAAATTATTTTATGTTTCAACATTTATCCATAAAGTAGAAAAGATAGAGACGGCTAGGTTGTAACTATTTTTCCCTGCTGCTGAATGAGTACCACCCACGCTTGAATCAACAAAAAAGTACACTGGCATGAAATTTTCTGCCCATCCCTATCTTGCCTCTATTTCATCTGTTCTGACTCACTGACAAAGAAGCTATCCTAATTTTGCATGTGCAAAGTGATTAGTTGATTTGCCTGGTCTGATCTCTTCTGCATTTCACCCTGTGGGGAAAAGAATCATCTGCCAATTACATTGCTGGAAAAAAAAATATAAAAGGAAAAGCTGGCTGTATGCTTCTATCTTTCATAATCTAGACTTTGGGCTCCTCTTCCTCAACCCAATTTTGAAAATAATATGTTGGAGTCAATAAACTGAATTCAACAAGGGAGGTAAACTTTTTTACATAAACAACAAATTCTCCTCTATTCTGTTCTGGAGGCTATTTGGGAAGGGATGGTATCTATTATTTCAACTTTGCGCTACAATTAAAGCACTTATACTCCTGAAAGCAGTCTGTTATTATGAAATTCTGAGAAAAATAAATCACAATGCTACTCTATTTTTCAGGGAGATATCAGCAGATAAGCCTGACCAGAGGATTGAAAAATGAAATGTCCAGCCACTACTGGTCACCGCTTTTAATTTGATAGTGCTTAAAAGTATTTACATATCTTGAGTCTGTCTCTAAATCCTGCAACCTTAAGGAAGAAAACAATATTTTTATGGTGGCAGAACTAAGGACTCGATAGATGAATGTGTGAATGAAGTATGAAAAAATGTTATTAAATCATGTTTTTATAAATGAAAACAAGCCTCAAAAGACAGGAAAACAGAATTATACTATCTTCTCTGAATAATCACTGCCTCTAGATCGCCTAGAAGTCACCATTGCATCAGCTACTTTGTTTTCATTCAGCCTAGAAGTGCTTTTTGAAGAACTAGTTGAAATTTGTAAGATGTAGAATAAAAATAGTATTGAAAAAATAAATATACCTCTCAAGCAAATTAATTAGAAGCAACAAGTTCTTCTGTACAGGGCAGCAACTCAATCAGTACATTCTTTACCTCGATGTGATGAATTTCAGTTTGCCAAATAATTACTCAATCATTTACGTCACGTTTTTGCAGTCCGATATAAAAAAGGGGCTATGGCACTGGTTACCTTTTTTTTGCAGTTGTTTGGTTTTCCTCACAAATAGTTTTTTTGCTTGTAACTCATTATCCAGTTCTCCATGGTCTCGCTTCCTTTTTCCAGATGATTTTGACGCTTTTTCTGATTGATGCTCACATGGTTTCAGATGCTCATCCTTTGACTGCTTCCTAGAACCCATTTTGTTCAACTGAAAAAAATCAATGTATTAGGAGGAATCAGAAAACTAAGCATTTGATCTTTTTGAAGTCATGTTTCTCTGCTACTACACATTATTTATTTATTTTTTGTTTTATTACATTTATATTCAGTATTTCTTCCATCCTGGTATTCAAGGCCTCTTATGTGGCCTTCCAACATACATCACATTCAGGCCCTGGCTAATCCATGCCAATTTACTTTCAACTTCTGGCAGTCTCTAAAGGTATTCCACAGAAAGCCTCTTATTTGCTACTTATTTCCAAATTGTTCTTATTCTATACTAGAGGAAAAACTAGATAACTTTGCATTAAATACCCCATCTAATTATGGTGCAGCTTTACATACATTAAAGCAGAAAAAGTAGAAGACAAGACATTTGTTCAGTCTTATCACTCTGAATTACAAATGCGATTTTTACTTAAAAGTAAACTCCACTGTCTTTAATGGCCTTCATTTCTACCTAATCTCCAACTTTACTAGCTTAGCCTTTACATCCACCTGTACTGTTTCTTTTCTTAAAGACCAAAAAGCAAACGATCAATTTAAAGCATAATTCTGCATTGACAATTTACTAAAATTTAAACAGGTGGCATCTAATTATCCTAGCCCAGATTCAGATGTATGCAAGTAAGGTGGTCTGGCTTCTCCTCAGTCTTATAATTGCCATCTTTCTCCTAGTAAATAACTGGATTGTGTCTCAGTTCAGTTCAGTAAATAGATGAGTCTTCCTCAACTCAGTGAACTCTGGATGTGCAAGACTACAAAACCTATCAGCACAGTCAATATCATATATACAGGGTTTTATGTTCAACATTATGGAAGTTGTACAGACAACCTGGAGGGCACCAGATTAGAAAAAAGCTACAACAATGCATTCAAAACAGGAGCATATTGACATATGCAATTTAGATTTCTTACAGAAATGTTTCTAACCACATCCTAAAGGTTTGTCAGTAATCACCAGCTCAGTGATTTTTATATTTTCTTTCCATGTCAGATTCCTCAACATAACAGAAGTTCTGCCGAAATTTTAAAACATTCAGAAAGCCACCACAAGCCGAACTGATACATCACGTTACCTCCTCTTCTACCATGCAGCATTTTCTTAAGAGAAAAAAGACTTCTGATGATAATAGTTTGTTTTTTGGCACGTCCTCATTTATGCTAGTATCTCTGTTTGTACAGGCGAGAGAACCTGTGTGAAGGCTCCCCTGCAGCTAAGGAATTCAAGTTTGACATCCAGACTGCCTTCCTGCCTGGGTTTAGGTCTTTAGGATAAGTTCGCTACATCTAACCTGCTTCAGTTTTGGGAGGCTAAAACGCAGCTTTGGGATTCTCTTTCTCTCCCGCCCCCACACATTTCCACACACAAATAACGGCATGTTCTGCCATCAGCATCGAGCAAGGAGCAGAATCCGTTTGGAATACTTTCTCTCTCTACTACCCAAGACTTTATTTTTAGGCACCCGAAACTTCCCCCTTCTGATATACTCAAGGGCTGACTACTCGGAAAAGCAAAGTCCATTCAGAGACGCAAAGCGGACAGAGAAGCCGGCCATCGGCATTAGCAGGACGCCCAGCTGCAAGGCAAAGGCTACACGTGCCCAAAGCAAATAAACCCTCTCTCCAAGGCACGAGACTCTGGGTCAGGCTGGAGAGCAGCTGCACAGTCAAGAGCACTGGCGGGTGCGGAGGAAAAACCCCCTCCTCACCTGGAGTCTCGCGACCTAGCTTGCACGTTCCCCCGTAGCGATGCAGAGGCTCGCCGGGATAGGCAACCCCCACTCAGGGACTTGGCTCCCGAAATCTCTCTCCTCGGAAAGTTTCATAATCTGGCGAGGAGGAGGAGCGACCGAGCGAGAACGAAAACAGGTTTACGCGGGAAACCCGTTTGGGTTCCGCCCAGGCCTAGAAACCGAGCGACGGGCCTCATCCACCAAGGAACGTGCTCTTCCCACTCGCTGATAGGGGGCGCCGCAAGGAACGGGCCGCGGCCAGGAAAGGCGAAGGGAAAAAGTCTATGGAGATTCTCAGTCATCCTGGTCATGAGTGCTCCAAAGGTGCTTTTTCAAGAGACAAATGGACTTTCTTTATTTTTTCCTGGAAGTCTTCAAGGAAAAACTTAAGTCCAGTTGCCTCTTAAAAAAGCACCCTTTCGCTTGAACTCTCCACAGAGAGTGAGAAGAGGGGGTACCTCGAACTGGAGTTTAGACCACAGACCAAACAATTGAAATAGAAGAAAAATAAGTCCTTTCAATCCTTTTCTCATAGAAAGAAAAAATAATAATTGCCAATTCCCTAAGCAAGTTATAACAGCAATTCTCTCACCCTTAGGTTGAGGGGAGGTGGCACCTCTGATGACCTGCTGAACCATTGGTGGTTAATTTAACTGTGATTTAAATGACACCCTATCAAACTAGGTTAAAAACGTTGTTGGTATCTGTTTGTGGCATTTTAGAAGCTTTAGTGAAGGGCATTGTAGAAAATGCAGGAACGGAAAGGTAATATCTGGTAATATCACACTACTAACCAGAGCATATAAAACATTTGCTAGACCAATACTCGAATACAGTTCATCAGTCTGGAACCCACATTACGTATCTGATATTAGCACAATTGAGAAAGTCCAGAAATATTTCACAAGAAGAGTTCTCCACTCCTCTACTCGTTGTAGAATACCTTATGCCACCAGACTTGAAATTCTAGAACTAGAAAACCTTGAATTACGCCGTCTTCGGTCTGACTTAAGCATGGTATATAAAATCATACATTGCAATGTCCTACCTGTCAGTGAATACTTCAGCTTCAACCATAACAACACAAGAGCACACAATAGATACAAACTCAAAGTAAACCGCACCAAACTTGATTGCAGGAAATACGACTTCAGCAATAGAGTGGTCAATGTCTGGAATACTCTACCCGACTCTGTAGTTTCTTCCCCAAACCCCAAAAACTTTAACCTTAGACTGTCTACTATTGACCTCACCCCTTTCCTAAGAGGTCTGTAGGGGGCGTGCATAAGCGCACCAACGTGCCTACCATCCCTGTCCTATTGTTTCTCTTATTCTTTTATTTTTCTTATATGTACCCATTTCATGTATTCACAACTATGTATACACTTATACTTATTATCTTGTAAACAATTGGCAAATCAAATAAATAAAATAAATAAAATAAAATAAATAAAGGAAAAGAGGAAAAGATTTTCCTAAGGAGAAAACCATGCATCAAGGAGAAGTTGTTATATCCTGTTGGTTTGACGCAGCTGTAGATTTATCTTCGAACATACCATAGTAGTAAATAAAATAAAAACCCAGCAGTTATGACAATTGAGGCAAATGTGAATTTGTAGGTGAGTTTTAGGAGAAGAACAACAAAAATGTTAGCAAGGTGAGAAAACATTTGCATTACAATCTACTTTAGTATTACAGAAGGAGTTATATACTGTAGAAAATGTCCAAACACAGTTTTTGATAAGTCCAGTAAGAACTACATGTTATTTTTTTGAGTGCAGATACATTTTCCCATTTACTACACAAATTTGCTTCTCCCATATCAGAGCTGTGCCGTGAGAATTTTCATTTTCGCCCAATTTTTTTTAGAAAAGGAAAAATTGCTTACCTAAAACAATGTACTTTAAAGGAAGACAAAAATAATTCCAAAATAGCACTTAAAGGCCAGAAAGAATGGGACTGATTTTAATGGTACAGGACCAAAATTAATACATTATTTCTCCTTTATTTTTTAATAAAATTGCCTTCAGTTTCTTATTAAATATACTTTGTGTAAAGGCTATAGCCTTTAAATTATAGAAAAAATATGAACAAATGCTACTACTGTAATTACATTTAAGATATGGACTTAATCTACTAGAAAATGGCCTATATGCTAGAAAGTATATCCTTAAATCTGAAATCACTGTTTAGGATATATAAGATCTAATTTCCAGTAGCTAAATTATTTTTACCAATAGAATAATGTGGGTATAGTTACCTATTTAGCAATAGCAATGGCACTTACACATATACCTTACTTACTTACACATATACTATTATATATATATACTTACACATATACTCTTGAATTACGCCGTCTTCGGTCTGACTTAAGCATGGTATATAAAATCATACATTGCAATGTCCTACCTGTCAATGAATACTTCAGCTTCAACCATAACAACACAAGAGCACACAATAGATACAAACTCAAAGTTAACCGCACCAAACTTGATTGCAGGAAATACGACTTCAGCAACAGAGTGGTCAATGTCTGGAATACTCTACCTGACTCTGTGGTTTCTTCCTCAAACCCCAAAAACTTTAACCTTAGACTGTCTACTATTGACCTCACCCCTTTCCTAAGAGGTCTGTAGGGGGCGTGCATAAGCGCACCAATGTGCCTACCATCCCTGTCCTATTATTTCTTTTATTCTTTTATTTTTATCTTATTCTTTTATTTTTCTTATATGTACCCATTTCATGTATTCACAACTATGTATACACTTATACTTATTATCTTGTAAACAATTGGCAAATCAAATAAATAAATAAATAAATAAATACCGCTTTATAGTGCTTTATAGCCCTTTCTAAGTGGTTTACAGTGTCAGCATATTGCCCCCAACAGTCCGGGTCCTCATTTTACCGACCTCGAAAGGATGGAAGGCTGAGTCAATCTTAGTTAAATAGTTTGTGATTTGTATGAATGCAGACAATTGGGTTACTTTAACAAATAATTATGCAGTTAACCAGTAAAATTATTCAGAATCAGTAAGTTGTGCAAATTCGTTTACACATCCTACTAAGCTATAGTATGGGTTATTTGGTTTTGGTTTAATATTTGAATGAACCTAGTCCATGTGATTGGTAAATTATGGCTGATAGACTAACCCTATGAGTGTAGACTGTAGACAAACCATGGTTTTAATAAATGCAGATTAATGCATATAAAATGGCCGCAATGGTTCACATGGTAAGACCCCGGGCC